GTGCCTTATTCTGTGTAAGAAGCCACATCATCTCACAGAAGGATTTATTTCAAACACTCGACTGACGTTATGAAGTGAGTTTGGAGTAAAAATATGTTATTAAATGTGGTATTTTCACATGCTTTCAGATGGAGCAGCATTTACTTCACAGAGCCGTAGTTCAATGAGAAGCTATGCAAACAGCTGTCATTATCGCGAACGATTTCTTCGATTTCACAATCGCACAATAAAATCGTCTGCGATTTTTTTGCGTAACTTGTCAGTGAACTACGGCTATGTGTAGTAAATGCTGCTCCATCTGAAAGCACGTGATGATGATTTACTGCTGATTACAGAACCGGCTTTTTTAACAAAATGCGCATGACAATCGCATTCGATTAATCGTGCAGCCCTAGCCAGCACAGCGACTTTCATCATCCGCTCACCCTGATCCACGTTTATGAGTTGTTTAAAAGCGAGCAATATTGCCAACACCGGCAGATTATGGTACAAGCACATTAAAGTGCTGCATATTGATTTGGCATCTATGTGTGTTTTTGTCTGAGTGAGTGTTCATTAATTGTGTCTAACAAGAGTTGTACTTCGCATTTAGACCAATAAGCAAAAAGACATAACAAATAGGTACAAAACAGGCAAACTATTGTAAACTTCACTTTGTGGTTATAAACTTTAACCACAACCAAATCAGATGTTATTCTATACAACTCTATAGAACATGCATATAGACATGCATATAGTTCTATCATGACAACTCTTGGAAGATTTTAGCATGGTAATGGATATGACAATATTACTGTACTGCCAGTCTGGGTGGAATAGATCTTCTACGCTACTGTTGGTTATTGCTGTTTTTGTAGATTATTGCTGCTGCTGCAAAGCAAGTACAGTAACTTGCTACTGCCAATACATGAGCAGATACAGCTCGCTGAGTATTTAAGACATACTGCTGCTGCACAAATAGCATATGTAATAACCCGTAGCAGATCTATACAGGTGGAGCAGGAGAAGGTGGAGGGTTTCAGAGGAACTCTGAAGGCTCATTGGCTGTGTATGCAACATGAACCAATCAGTGCCAAGTCGTGTAATGTTGTGAATATCATCAGTTTGCATTAACAACCCATCAGCCTGCGCCATCTTAAAAGTTTCATGACATAACTTTTATATGCTATTATCTCATATACATGCAATTTATATCACATTTAATCTTAAAAGTTTTGGAAGACACACAAATTGTTATAAACAAAAGCAGGGTTATTTTGTGATTGACTGAGACTGAGTAACTGATTTTTATTGCACACAATACCTACCTTCCTCTCCAAGGCAATACCAGCTCTGGGTTGATCGTTCGGATAAAATATTCAACTCCAGGTTTAAGACCTTTGTCCAGAAAACTCAATGGGATGCTTTCTTTTGGCTCGTCCTCCACTGGTTCCTCAATTTGGGGCCTCAGCACACCCAAGTAACGGGGCAGTAAGTTGATGAAAACCTGTAGAATGTTAGATGACAGGAAATGCTTTCAGGTTTAAGTAAGTTTACTGAATAACATGAATAAACTGCTTTTTATATTAAGATTTTTTCTGAATGTGAATCTTCCTAAGGGTCACCTTTCGCACCCATAAGGGCATGTGGTGTGTGCTGGGAGTCCTGTGGTGAAGGTTCAGGACCACCACACTAAGGATGACTGAGAACGTCACCAGGATCATGGTGAACATTACGTAGTTAACGATGATAGGAATGCCAAGTGATGTTTCTGGGACTTTGTCAGCCAACAACAGCATGAAAACAGTGAGAGCAATGAGGACTGAGATGGACAGAGTCATCTTCTCACCTGAAGGAGAGATCAGAAAACATGTCTTACATACAGACACATTGTGTTCCATTCCTCTTTCAGTATAAATAAAATGACAAGTGATTAGATAAATTTAAAATCGCTCAAGACAAAGTTAAACAATGTCATCCACAGTTTGCATACAGCCAAATACAAATAATAAAAAAAAACAAAGAACTACTGTTTAAAAGTTTGGGGTCAACAAGATTTTTTTTAAAGAACTTTCTATTCATCAAAGAATCCAGAAAAAAAACATGTTTCCACAAAAATATTAAGCGGCACAACTGTTTTCAACACTGATAACAATAAGAAATGTTTCTTGTGCAGTAAATCAGCATATTAGTATGATTTCTGAAGGATCATGTGACAATGAAGACAGGAGTAATGGCTGCTGACAATTTAACTTTGCCATCACAGAAATAAATTACATTTGAAAATATATAAAAATAGAAAACAGTTATTTTAAATTGTAATAATATTTCACAATATTACTGTTTTTCTGCATTTTTGATCAAATAAATGCAGCCTAGGTAGGCATAAGGGACTCGACTTTTGAATGGTAGTGTATATTTAATTAGTCAGGATGTTTCATACAACATCAAAGTTGAACATAAACTGCACAATTTACAGTCAACATATTGATTTTCTAATTAAAGATGGCCACCTGCTCCAGGTGGCAGATAGAAGACAAATATGGCCAGCACACTGGTGAGGATGCAGGGCACGATGATGTTAATGATGTAAAACAGAGGCTTCCTCTCAATGATCAGGTAGAAGGTGATGTCCTCATACAAGTCATCGTGGATGTTCTTTCTGCTGGGCTTGTGACAAATCTGCCACTCACCGTTCTCTTAGGGAAGAGAGGGGACTGATGAGAGAAAGAGAGATAGAAGGAAGAAGAGAGTGTGCCATGTGCCAAGTTGCTAAATTGCTTGGCAACCATAAACAGACTACAGGTAATTTAACTATATTACTATGCTGAATATAATAACTTTGTACAAATATTATTTTCATAAATAAATACAAATAATCACTATTGTAATATTCCACGGTCCCTGACCTTGGAAAGGAAGCTGTCACTTTTAGGATGAAGTACACTAACCAGTGAACGCATTCTCATCAATCACTATCTCATGGAGCTCGTTGCCATCTTCATCTAGACCGTACTGAAGGTCCACTTCTGAGGAATCATATGTGTAGGAACGAAACACCATTGTGCAGTTCTGCCTGTCAAATGGAAAGTACGCCACCTATAGGGATGGAGAACACAGATTTGAACATAATACAGTACAACACAATAATAGTACAACTTTAAATCAGTAATATGGTTCAAGTGATTTGTGGTTTAAGGTTCAACACAAATTAAACTCCAACAATAGTTTCGGTGACTCTGACAAAGGAATTTAATTTACTATAGAAGTCTATTTACTATGATCCAAGAATATTACTTTAACATGTAAGCATACTAACAAGTTCACATGTACCTCTATGGAACAGGAGCTGCGGTAGATGGCTGGTGGATACCAGGAGACGGTTCCATCGCTTCTCACTAGCACGTTTACATACAGGGCAACATCAAACTGACCATCATTACTATGAAACAGAAAGAGAACATCTTATTCAAGTCCTAAATTCCGTGTCATTTGCAGGTTTTATTTTCTAACAGCAATTTTTACAGTGTAAAGAGATCAAAAGGTTTTTAATTCAAGTATGATACTGTGGCAGGTGCCCTGCTGCTGCGGAGCAGTGCCGATCATGCACTTCTTAAAACAACATCTTTCAAATGCTTGTCAGTGTGGCATTGTTGGAGGATGATCTCACTTGTTGATTAGGTAGATGTCTGGACGCCACACTTTTAAGGGAGGAATTCGCACAACATCAATATTGTCATAGTCCTCAGGATTCCAAGATAACCTGTAATCTGTCCATTCCTTGAAATGAGAGAGACAGAAAGAGAGAGTGGCGGGGGGAATGGAATTTCCATCAGATTCTACTGTTTTTTTTATACTGACACTTTATTAAGCCATTTTGAACCTTTGGCTGGTTGTCATAATTTGACAGAAAAACACTAACTCAGTCACTTACTGAGATTAGAAATGATGTCTTTAAAAAACATTACATATATACACCAATGCTGCATGGTGTATTTAAAAAATACAGTAAAAACAGTAATATTGTGATACATTAGTACAATTTAAATTAACTGTTTAAAAAAGGTACTTTAAAAAATGATTTTAAAATGTACTTTTTTCCTGTCATGGCAAAGCTGAACTTTCAGCAATTACTACAGACTTCAGTGTCACATGATCCTTCAGAAATTATTCTACTATGCTGATTTAGTGCTCAAGAAACATTTCTTTAAAACATTATTTAACCGTTTATCCAAATCAGGATATCCTTAAGGAGACATTTTGACAAATCTATTGAGATCAAATTCATCCCCAAATTTATCCCCGATTCCCTTAGTTAAGCAATCCAATTCTTTCTCTGCCACACACAGCATTATCCTACTGAGCACCATGAGCACACTTATTTGCTCTACATCTAAAGAAAGCCCATAAGACAGTTTTAAAAAAAAGTAAAGAAAAGCCAAAAATGACTTGCAGTTATAAAAAGTGACAGTCAATTTAAGCGGAAAATAAACAGCGATTAGGAAGGATGAGATAAATGATCAGCCTCTCACCATATTCATGAACACGTTTGTTGTCATCTCTCCATTCTTCTCGTTCTGTGAGAGAAGAGAGATAGTGACATTAGCGCGGCACTAATGCGTGTCGAGTGTGGCATGCTGTCACAGTCAGTCCTTCCGAAGCTAATGTTCTATGCATGGCTTGATGCCTTGTGGCTGGAAAGTGCTTGCTGATAGGGGACTAAGTGCTAATGTTTCTCTAATGTTAGGGAAATGTTGCTGAAGCGTTGGCCACATGGCCCAGTAGGTACGAGAGAGGCAGCTGGGCCACTGATCTCCAACAGCCTGCTGGGAATGTCACCGAACACAAACTGTGTGAGTGATCACAAAGAGAGAAACGCTTTGGAAATAAACAATGAATAAAGAGAGGATCAGTAATTCCGCATAGGAAAATGTGTGTGGACGTGTTTATGCATGAGTGTTATGTGTATCATACCAAGCTGATGAGCTGTACTAAAGTCATTCCCACTCGGACCATCACTCGCTCAGTCCAGGTACGCGCTGGACGCACCTTCAGGTTGTAATCCTGAAACAAATCCTCCAGTAGCATGCGTTCAGCCTCGGATGCCACTGAAAACACACATGCAGACACTCAAATGCTTGTTTTATTTCAGCAGGTCATTAACTCCATTCCTCTCCTTGTTTCGTAATCAAAATAAGACTTGTCTATCTCTCAGTGTTTCTTCTGACTTGTAGTCATAAAAAGGGTTTTCTAAGAATGGGCTGACCCAGATCAACATTCAGAGGAGTTAATGGCCTCAGCGCTGCTTTCTTTGTCTCCATATTACAAGGTCAAATATGCTGTAGCATTCTAAACATTATATGGATTGTGTGTCAGAGAGATGCAGTCCGTCACATGCAGTTTATGAAAGCACATAACTGACACACTGGTGACATATACACCTGTTACTATCTGTGATCACGTCTGTTCAGATAAACAGACCATATACCGATTCCGAATTTCAAACTAATTAATTAATAATTTTCTTATTATTTCAATATTAATATATTTAATATAGTAATTTATATATTACATGAGTAGTGATATGATGCACCTAATGTCAACTTGATTGATGGCTTTGACCTTTGTGACCTTTCCCCCTCCCCCACGCGGCCCCTCCCCCACGTAGTGACCGCCCACGTGGCGACCACCCACGTTGTGTTGACCCCGGTGACCTATCCAGATGTGAAATGAACAATATCACTTAAGACTAGTTTGACAAATAAGGGTATGTTCATAAAACAAGTTTGGACCCAAATTGAAGCATTCTAACAACAAGTACAACCATTGCAGAAAATGTATTATAGCACCGCAGTAAGATATAACTTTGGATGTGTGATTGACCAACTTATCAGATGTTCAGCATATTATTACAAGTCCCTGCTTACCTAGTTTATGATGAAAAGAAAAAAAATATAGGCATGAGCTAGCAATCACCTTGGATAAAATCAACAGCAGTACAGAGTATGAAAAGATAATGCAGAAAAGCTGAGCAGACTGGTACTACTAGATCTCAGTGCT